TTGTGGCCAAAACGGAGTCTTCAAACGTGGCAATATTCTTCTCGATACGGGAGCGCAAATCTGTTTGAATCGCAACGACACAGCTGAAGTGTTAGGGCTGAAGGGCAGGGATACGTCAGTCACCATAACTGAGGTTGGAGGTGAAGAGGAAACGATTAAAACGAAGGAATATCGAGTTCCTGTGAATGCCTTGGACGACACCCGTAAGTATTCAGTAAAAGCTATTGGAATCCCCAATATCGGCGATGATGTCACCGCAGTTCAAACATCAAAGCTTGCTGACCTCCTTCGTGTACCAAACGAAAAGATCCATAGAGGAAAAGGACACATTGACGTGCTGATCGGTATAGACCATGCGCATATTTCCAAATTCCAATTCGATCTGGAACAGTGGACAAGAATAGCCACCCAGTGGATGTCCATTGTTAAATCATTATTTATTTATTTATTTATTATTTATTTATTTATATTCATACGGGTCAAACGAAGCACGTTGGACAAATCGTTGCTAGGAAGACACCCCTGGGGTGGGTAGTGTACGGAGGTCCCACAGGATCTGTTCCGTCAGGCAGTCGAATACTCTTTGTGAAGCACTCAGCGCCCGTTGACCTGACACACTTCTGGACGACAGAAACCATGGGAGTCAAAGGGAAACCATGTGTATGTGACGCCGATAAGCTGACTCAAGTGGAAAGGGAGGAGGCTGAGGTGATAAGCAGTTCTTGCAAGAAAGTCGGAGCGCAGTGGATCATTCCGTATCCTTGGAGAAGGAACCCGAACCTTCTTCCTGACAGCAAGTCGCTGGCATTAAAAAGATTAGAGGCAACAGAGCGCCGCCTGAAGTCCAGTCCAGATAAAGGCGAGTCCGAAGATAAACAAATAAGAGAAATGCTCGATATGAACTTCTGCAGGAAGCTGTCGCAAGCGGATCTAGAGGAATTTAAGGACCCAGTCCACTACATTCCACACCATGCTATTTTGAGACGGGAAAATAAAAGTACACCCGTACGAATAGTGTTCAACTCTTCGTCTGTTTTCCAAGGTCATTAGCTCGACGACTACTGGATGAAAGGTCCAGACCTACTAAACAGTTTATTTGGGATGCTGCTAAGGTTTAGAGAAAGGGAAGTCGCTTTGCTCGGAGACGTCTCTAAGATGTACCATCGAATATTGATTCCAGTTCAAGATCAGCATGTCGACCGATTTTTATGGCGAAATTTAGAAACCCATGGAGAACCTGATGTTTACATAAAAGCAGTGCTCACCTTTGGAGATAAGCCCGCTCCAGCAATGGCACAAACCGCTTCAAAGAAAACTGCGTAAGATAACCGGTCCGTCTGTCCAGAAGCAGCAGAAGTTCTCCAGAAGAACACATACATGGACGACATTTATAACTCGGTCAACACAGTCACTGAAGCAAAACAAATGGCAGAGAATCTCGACATAATTCTAAAGACAGGTGGCTTCAAGGTTAAACGTTGGATTTCGAACAAATCGCTTAGAGGAAATGTTACAGAGAAAGTCCTGGGAATGGCATGGAAACACTCACGTTCAGCGTCACCTCTAACGCGGTAGATCACGTGATCGGGAGCGGACAGCCTCTTTCTGAAGGAAAACTAACGAAGAGAGTTTACTCAGTCAAGTCGCTCGGGTTTATGACCCTCTAGGGCTCGCTGCCGCTTTCCTAATCACAGCAAAGATCGGATTACAAGAACTATGGCAAGCAGGAGTTGATTGGGACGAAGAGCCCCCCCCCCAGCTGCTCGTGAGAAGTGGAAAGATATATTCCGAGAAGTGAAGGAGTTGAGAAAGGTCCAGTTTCCTCTCAGTTTAACGCTTGCTGATTCAGAAGAACCTCCAATGCTCTGCGTATTTTACCTTTGGAGCTGCGCCTACAGCCGACAGAAAATAAGTGAGGAAAAGTATCAGGTCAGACTTATCGCTGAAAAATCACGAGTAGGACCTTTAAAGCAGCTAAGCATACCACGCCTAGAGTTATAAGCAGCCGTTTTGGCGTCTCGGTTAGCTAAAACCATTCAAGATCCTAAAGGCTGTCAAATTCTTCACGGACAGCACAATTACAGATACAGAGCCCATCGCGCAATTTCATGTCATGTGTTTCGTCGCGAGTGGGAGAAGTTCAAAGTAACTCAAACTTTTTCTCCCGGATTAGGCATAACCCTTTGCTGCTTCACGGTCAATTGAGTATTTAACTGTGAATTATTTCAATGCCGATTTACCTTCAACCAATTCAAATCGAAGCTGTTGTGGTTGTTTATTTTTTCTAGGTCTTAATTTATCTAATTCTCACTGCAGTGAATTTCTCTTTTCAATCAGATTTTTCTTATCTTTATTATTTTTTCCCACGCGAGTTGCGTGACTTTTTGGATTTTTTCTTGAGGCGCTTAATCTGACGTTCTTTGAGCTGTCTTTCATCGACTCGCGCATAAAACGGAGCCTTTGAATATTCGAAATTTTTCTTCACTCGCTTCTCTTGACGAGATTGTTTTGATTTCGTTTGATACGGTTGCACCGCTGCTTTCACCGTAGGTTTAAGTTCTGGCTTTGCCGGTTGCTTGTTATTTACATCAAGTGAAGCGACAACTGGTTCAACCACGGGTTTTACCACTAAATGGTAAAACCCAGTAATGGACTTCAACGGTAAATGTTTTACCGTTGAAGTCACTTCTTCAACAGCTTCATCACTGTCAATAAAATTGACAATCGGTTTTGATAATTTCCCTTTTATCAGTGGTTTCACCGGTTTAGGTGGTTGAACAATTTTAGTATTCAAGTGTTTCTGAAGAAAGTCAATCAACTCAGCTTTCCGTGGTCTTGAATATCCACGAAGTCCGTTCGTTAAACGTGATTTGCTTATATAGACGTAAACGTTGCATCGCCTTTTCTTCATGGAAATTGCGAAATGACTGGCTTTTTTCACGAAATGTGACTTGAACCGTTGTTATTCTTCTTTTCCAAAAATTTATCCTGTAAGCGTCTCAAAACAAGACGTGAAACATGACTGTCATTAGCTACCGTGAAGTAATGCAATACCTCTCGACGAACAATGAAACGTATGTTTCTCGAGTACGTCACATTTCCGGCAGCTCTGCCGAGTCTGGTCTTTGTCAGATAAGAAATGAATCGTTGAAAAATTGAAACTGTTAGAACCTGTTTATTTATTAATTTACTTATTTCAATAATTCTTCATATCTAGTTTATTTTATGATTTAGAAACGACCTGGCTAGTTAAATGGACGAAGAAAAATTTTTAGATCTTATCTTTGGTTCTTCATTTAAATTCTTGTCACCGATGCCAGTTGTCGTGACCAATTTAACATTGGCTTGCGATTTCCAGTTATTCATTATATACCGCACACTGGATACCAGAGGTTTTATGTTTTCGAGCCTTGGAAAAACCTTGGAGCCAACATATCCAGACCTGCAACTAACGTTGCAACGTTGCTATCTATATATCGGCTTATCTTGCAACAGTTCGCTGTTTCACTTCATTTTTTTTCTTAGTTGCGGGGTAGATGGTACGCGATACAGAGATGACAATTGCTGAAGCATTCGGTTCTTTGTATGAATGTCATTGATCAACACAAGCTTTATTTTCCCTAACCAGCAGAGGGATATACTGTTACTTTTACTTTTGAAACTTCATTTATTTATAAGCGGCATGGAGAGAACAATTCAATTTTAATTAAAAAAACACGGCCAATAGCCGTGCTTCTGATCCACGTTTTATATCGAAGCTTCTTTCATGTTCTGAAAACGTTGCTCTTTTAAGATTAACACTTCTCTCTTTTCTATGTAAGATTATTTTTTGTGTTGATCAAGCGTTTGACCTGAACAAAACTCCTCAAACTCTTTGGAATGACCCTCATTTTAGGAGATTACATCATCCTGCAAATAATGGCTTTGTCTTTGGTTTAACTTTTCTTTTGGGTGAAATGGATTAATCAGTCTGTTGGATGAAATCAATGAAATATTAGGCTCACTAAACCGAGCTGATACAATGATAAGGGTTATATAATATTTATGCATTATTAGAAGTAATATTTTAAATGATTATTGTTATTATTTTGTATTAATCACACCCACAACTTTTACCCACACCCACACCCACGACCCACGACTTGTACCCACGACCCACGACTTGTACCCACGACCCACGACCCACGACCCACGAACATTAGTCAAACTCCTGCAAAGACTATCACAGTAAAGATTCAAGGTTCAAATTTCATGTCTCTCTTTGCGGGAGATGAAACTGTGATGAGTTCTCATCTCTCACTTGGAAAACTCTATGATGAAGAGTATAAAGATTCAGACAAAGAAGATGAAGAAATAGAAGAAAAATACCACTCCATCTATGAAAAGTCATTCAGCATGTCACTCTTCCATCCGATTGTTAAGTTCCCAGGATTGTCAGGAATTATAGGATTTTATCCCCCCATAATAGACTCATTTCCCTTGAAAATAAAAGTCAATATTTCAACCGGTTTGGGTTCCATCTCTGTCTTTATCAAAGACCAGAAAAAAATTTCTCTTAACGATCAAAAAAAGATTCTGTGTGAACACTGAAAGAACACGACACTTTTTATCACCTGAGACAGGTGATAAAATCACTGACCTTTGCCCAACACTACAATAAAAGAATTCAACTCACTAGTTTAATTTTTTTATTTCATCTAACAAAAACGTCATTTAGTATCTTGTACGGAACTTATAGACCACACGGAATCTGCATTGCAACGCTACCTTTATTCTCTCGCACACTCGCCTATATACATCACACAGCATTACCCACGTGCTTCATACTAATTAGATTACGTCATCACCGATATTATTACACAAACACTTAATCCCTCCCCTGATTTAATTTAAAATCAACTATAAATTGTAGTGCTATTTTCGGTAAATACGCGAAACCAACAGAACTCATTAGCATACTAAAATTTGCAATTGTTTAGTCAAAGTTCATTGAAAACTGTTCAGTGTAACTGATAGTCCCTCAGATGTGTCGGTGCACGTCTGACACGAGCAGATCTTCGCGTATCTTGTTCCGCTGCCCGTGGAGGATTCATTGCCTGTGGAAGATCAAAATCCATCCCATAATCACCTTCCTCCCGTACAGCAGTGTTCTGGTGCAACTTGCGGACCTGCGATACATTGCGCATGAACACTTGTCCATTTGTTCGCTGCAGAATAAGGCTCGGTCCCCTACGTTGTATCACTGAGTAAGGTTGAGAGTCATACAGCGTTGATAGCTTGTTCTGCCGCGCCTGCTGTAACAGCAGTTTGTCTCCTGAGTTCATGTCTGATGGACTCGCTCTGTTTCTCTTGTCTGCATAAACCTGTGTGCGCTGCTTGGCTTGTTGGTCCTTACCCTTTGCAGAATGTATTGCAGCAGATACAGCATTCGACAACTGTGTCTCAACTTGGGGAACTTTGGTTCTGATCTCACGTCCTAAATGTAGAAACGCCGGCGACGCTCCGGTAGTCGCATGAGGTGTCGCACGGTAGTTAAGTAGGAAGGCAAACATGTCAGTGCGCCAATCCTTTCCTTCAGCATGCGCAGTGCGAATTGCCTCCTCAATTGTCTTTTAAATCGTTCAACCCCTACATTCGCCTGTGGCCAGTAGGGGGTGACCTTCCGATGCTGGATGCCATGCGTTGCCAGGTACTCCTCAAATTCCTCCGAGACAAGATTTGCTCCTTTATCTGTTACTACTTTGTCTGGAAGCCCATGTACAGCAAATATCTTTAGAAGATGTCCGATTATGGCCGCAGAGGTAGTTGAGCGTAAAAGGACTACTTCAGGCCAGCGCGTACATGCATCTTCACAAACCACGAGACTTTCTCCTGTAGGGAACGGTCCACAGAGATCGATGTGTACCTCTTGCCATGGTTTGTCAGGCATCACTGTAGGTCGGAGTGGCTCTGCAGTAGACTTGCCCGCAACAGATTGGCAGGGTAGATACGCCTTGACCATTGTCTCCACTTGATGTGTGATACCTGGCCACCAAACCCTCTCCCTGACCATCTGTTTGGTCCACACAATGCCTTGGTGACCCCCGTGTGCATTAGGTAAGGTTGTTTGCCAGAGGGTGCTTGGCATGATACTACGATGTCCTCACATGATGATTCCATTGGTCACACATAGTTCATCTCTAGCCCGTCTGTAGGGCCTGAGCTCTGGTGTGTCTGGCCACTCAATGTCACTCAAACAGCATCGTACTTGCTGTAGTATTGGGTCTGCCTCAGTAGCATTTGCAATCTGCTCAAGTGTGAGTGCTTTTGGAACCGCGTTTACTGTGACGGAGTTAATATATTCTTCCGCAATGTTCCTTTCGCGGAACGGTTGGTTTTCTAACGGCAATCTTGATAGGACGTCAGCTGGGTTTGTCTTTCCGGCCATGTGTACAACATTAAACGTGTATGGCTGCAGTCGAAGTGCCCATCTTTCAATCCGAGGCGGTGGCTTGGATTTGGGGTGTAAATAACCTCGAGCGGCTTGTGATCCTTGTACAGGGTGAACAGTTTACCATACAAGTAAATATGAAATCGCTCGCAAGCCCACACAACCGCCAGTGCCTCCTTTTCGGTCTGAGAGTACCTCCTCTCAGCATCTGTTAACGTGCGACTCGCATATGCCACAGGATAATATTAATAATAATAATAATAATTTAGTATTTATATTGCGCAAATTAGCATGTGGATATGATCAAATGCGCATGACAATACTTTTCGGGAGACTCTGGCCGGACTGCATCAGCAGTTAACAAACAATCGAAGGAAACTTATTTGAAGATGCCCCCTTCCCCCCCAACTCTCAGTAAACAGGCCAGACCACATCACAGTAATCTCGTGAGTGGGTTCTTTAACGTCCTCTGTCTAACCAAATTAACTAATTAATAGATGCAGGAGACGGATGAACACAATCACCGCGTCGCTGCAGCAAAATGGCACCAAGTCCAACTGGACTTGCATCAACTTTGAAGTTCAAGTTGAAGTTGAAGTTCATTTATTTGTTTTAGCAGGTTGATTAATTTGGCAGCTGTAATAGCTGATGTGGACCTGCTGTCCTAACCCACCCATCCCACCCCAGGGGAGGACATCCATCACACAGTAATCTCGTGTGTGGGAAATTAACGTCTCCTGCCCCAACCCTGCAGGAGACGGGACCTCCATTTATTCGTCCCTATCCGAGAAGACTAGAATATCTAACCATTTCTTGATGTTATAGAAAGGTAGCAAATTCTTCTCAATTATTTTAAGACCTTGAGTGTTGGTCCGGCCGGGGCTCGAACCCTCGACCTCCCGCACTACAGTCCAGCGCTCTATCCATTGAGCTAACCGGGAGGCGGTTCAGCTTCGTTTCAGCGCCTAGGTCGTAATGTGCAACAACACAGTCACTGGTCAGAATGACTTGAAGGCGACGAAATGCCTCTTGTTGTGCATTACCCCAGACCCACTCTGTATCACTCCCTGTGAGCATCCGTAATGGCTCAGCGAGGGTTGCAAAGTTCGGGATAAAACGCGCACAGTAGTTCACTAATCCGAGAAAACTCCGCACTTCCGCTGCATTCTGTGGTGTTCGCGCGTTCCTCACCGCTTCAACCTTCCTGTCGTCCGGTACAATGCCATCTGCAGAAATCTTAAATCCAAAAAATACTAATTCTGGAACACTAGAGATACACTTCTCTCGGTTAAGCGTAAGTCCCTTGCTCTCAAGGTGTGCAGTGTAAGTTCTAAATTCCTGTCATGACTGTCTTGATCAGAGCCAAATATAATAATATCATTAGAAATGTTCCTTACTCCGGGAATACCTTGAAGAGTTTGCTGAATTACATATTGGTACATTTCCGATGCTGACGACAAGCCAAATATAAAGCGTATGTAACGCTTACGTCCCTTGTGTGTTGCGAAAGTTGTAAGCACTCGAGACTCTGGGTGTAGTTCGACCTGATGATAGCCCCATCGCAAATCAAGCTTAGAGAACACAGCTGCTCCATTAAGTGCTTCCAATGTTTCCTCAAGTGTTGGTATTGGATGTCGCTCTCTGATCACAGCTTCGTTTGCACGACGCATGTCAACACAAACCCGTTCGTCCCCATCGGACTTTGGAACCGCGACTAAAGGCGAAACCCAGGGCGTTGGACCGTCAACATCCTCAATAATGTCGAGATCTTGCACTTCATTGAGCTTTTTCTCCACATCCTTACGAACATGAAAGGGAAGGTGGCGCTGTGGTTGCGCAGCTGGAGAGATGTCTGGGTCTATGTGTATTTTTAATTGATAATCCCGCAGTTTGCCAACGCCGTTAAACACTGCATTATGTTTGTCCACAATCACTTGTACAGATTTCGCTGTAATTTGATTAACTGTACTCGGGTACTCCGGTCCAACTCTTAGTAAACCAAGCTCCGTTGAAGTTTCCTTGCCCAAAAGTGATCCCGCATTTMAATTTTCAACAACCACGATGTCGGCCTGTGTGTGAAACTGAGCTGTTGACACCTTTGCACTGAATGTTCCTTTTACAGGAAGCGGCGTTTTCGAGCGGTACGTGTAAATTTTGACACCGGAATTTCTGTGAACCACTCCTGTCTTCGACAATCGGTTGAATGTAATACTGTCCAGTACATTGACATTTGCCCCCGAGTCGACAATAACCGAAATCGATGTTCCTTCAACAGTTATTTGCACAGTATTGTCGTCCATGTTTCCCCCAATCGCCCACAAATATTCATCTTCTGAACCGGGGTCTTGTTCGGTTGTCACGTACCGAAGCCCATTTGCATTCCGTTGTTGCGCAACGCTCTGAGAGCTAGCAGCTCGTTTCAGAACTCCTTTGGAAACCCCACCGAAGTGTCCTTGCTTTCCACAGTTACTGCAAGCTTTTCCAATTGCAGGACACGAAGGATCTTTCGCGATGACCCGCGCGTCCACAACAAAAACTGACCATTTGCCTCGTGTCATTGTTCTGTGTTCGTGAATTCTTCGCATTCTTTGGTTGACACGACCGTGAATTTCCACTGTTTTTTCCTCTTGATCTTTGAAATCCACCCGAGACCTTGTTGACCTGTCGTGAAGAGCCCGGCGCTGCCTCCATTGTAGTAGCGTGTAGGTCAGACGCTTCAATTGTTCGAGCGATCTGGAGAAGCCCATCCAGTGTTAGGTTGGTTTCTCGTAGCAGTCAGTGGCGAAGACCGTTCGGGGCGCATCTATCCACCACTTGATCTCCGATCATTTCGCCCACATTTCCATACTCGCAAGATTTCGCAAGGCTTCGTAATCGCGTCACGTACGAATCGATGTTTTCAGTCGGCTGTTGCGCTGCCTGCCGAAACACATGTCTCTCAAAGGGAATGTTCTTCTTCGGCTCAAAGTACTCGATCAACTTCGCGAACGCCTTATCATAATCCTCCCCAGTACCAATGAGAGTTTCAAGAACCGTTTGGACTTCAAGGCCTGCTAAGTGCAGCAGTACAGCACGTCGTTGTTTCTTCTCGGTAATGTTGGATGCCACCAGAAAGTATTCCAAACCTTTAACCCATTTCGACCAGCGCTGCCCGAGTGTTGTTTGATCGCTTGAGACGGAGAAAGGGGGAATAGCAGGTAATTTTAATGTTGTGGCCATCACTTCTTCTTCCAACTCCTCAGAATTAGACATAAAATCCTTGCATCCTCGTCGCCAAATTTTGTATCTTCTAGAGAACTTATAGACCACACGGAATCCGCATTGCAACGCTACCTTTATTCTCCCGCACACTCGCCTATCTACATCACACAGCATTACCCACGTGCTTCATACTAATTAGATTACGTCATCACCGATATTATTACACAAACACTAAACATCAGACCAAAAAAAATCAATTCAAATGAAAGTCCCCGAAGCATATGTGAAACCCTTAAAAGCTAGAGAGCCCTTACTCCCAACAGAAGAAGACTATGGCGAGGATGAAGATTAAACAATTTAATACAACTTTTTATTACCTGAACGGGTAATAAAAAAAACACGTGTTGAGTTGACCTTGAATAAACTTTTAAACAAAGCGAGGTCAACCTTTGAGATGGTTTGAGATAGAGGTTTTGTGACCTTGAACCACATTAAAGCGAAGCCGACCTTTGGTTTTTCACTTTGAGTAAACTTGAAAAACAAAGAAAAACACTGTATGAAAGTGACCACTCCTTCAGAAGCGGTGTGTTTAGTATCACACATATGAACACGTCGTTCAAAATGTAAGCACAGAGCCAGTGACATGTCATACAATAAACTGGTAAACCGGTGAAAACCAGTTTACTAACAACGTTTAATAAACAACCCCTTTTTACAACAGCGTTTAACTCTCGATTTCAAAATTTAGGAACCGATAAAACAGATGAATCAACGATGTTTTTTATAGATGAAGTAGACGAAGTCATTGTTTATGAAATTTTTCTAGAGTGCCGAAAATTCACGTTCGACCCATTCTGGAGAGAGGTTTTTTCAAACTCCGCTTGCAATCGTTTTCGGATAGGAGTGAGATTTTAAAACGGTGTTTACAATGTAGTGATGGAAAAGGCAAAACCTCTGAAAGGTAAAAAATCAAAGACTCAATCATCCCCCCTTCTGATCATTTCGGAATCTATAAACTCATCATCTATCTTTTCAAAGACTTGTTGGGTTATAGGTCTGAATACGACATGAAATTGAGTGTTCGTGACTTTCAAAAGATTCACCGCCAAAGTAAAATCAACCTGGATTGTGATTGAAAAAAACCTAAAAGCGAAATCATTAAAGACTTAAATGTTAATGAATTTTGCGGTCTCAGAGACACAAGAGTGAGGTCTACCACCGAAAGACGCAAAGAGGCTTTTCAATACCATTCAACTGGGGTTTCAATTCAAAACCTTGACACATACCGATGTTGTTTACAAAGCGGGTGTCGTGAAATCAATTACCGGACTTGTATATGACAGCGAAGCGAAAGGGGGCATAGGGTAAAATATGGACTGGACTGGACTATTTTTTGGACGATTTTTTGGACGATTTTTTGGACGATTCTTTGGACCATTTTATAAGGGGGGAGGCACACCTTTAGTACTCAGGGAGGGGTGGGTATTTAAAATATC